CGTGTAAATAAATCTACAAATGCAGATAGTAGTTGTGAGTACTAATCAAGATGCAGTCTACAGTTCTAAAAGCAATACGATATAAGATGTTCACTACAACTAAAGGCACTTGCGAGCGAATAGATTCACCTAAGCAAAATTTCAAAAATATCAGGTGTCATGTCTTCGAACACCATAGCAGTTTGTTGAATTTCATTAGGGGCTTCTGTATTTCCAGTTAGTTTGTCTGCAAAATATGCGCTCCTTGTACATAAGACCAAGGAATGAGCAAGAAATATTTTATTGCTTGGCTCTTGGCCGACGTGAATTGAGATGTCGGTATATTTTCCGCCTTCATAAAGCTTTTCATAATCTGATGAAACACCAGAAAGCAATTCAATTACGTTACTCATTTCAAAGTATATCAAATTTAGCGAGAAGATTAATATGTGGACTGCGCCCCGTGCGGGTTTCCTTATGCATAATAATTGTTAGTCCGAAATTTTAATATGCGACTAGTCGGGTTCTGTCATTTGTCTCTAAATAACTAATTAAACAATTTTCGTTTCAATAAATAATGAATGGCTCTCGTTCCTCAATTAAGAGTAATAGATCAACGGACAACTTATACAGCTTAAATGAGCCATTTTTACAACTTGAGTGAGTCGTTTATTAGTGTGTCCGGTCAATTAATCAATGAAAGAAAGTAAAATTTCGGTTTCAAAGGGAACCGTTTAGGTGGAATAATGTTATTATTGAACCAACAACATGAAAATATTTATAACATTGACAACATGAGAATTTGACGATGGGATATATATATCTAGCGAAACCCAAAATGTGAAACGGAAGGCATCATCATAGATTTAACCAATAAATTCTAAGCTAGCTAATTGATGGCGTTTGCCAAAATACGAAATCGAAACGATGGGTATCGTTCGTAACACTATTCTAATAAAATTAGATATCGATCGTGGATTTTGCGCTTGACTGCGGAGGAAGATTTTACTTATTTGATTCACCAGATCGGCTTGCCGTAACATTACCTCTCCTCTTTATAATTTGTTCAAGAACGCCCACAAATATTATCAGTATATGCCGATACTTAAACCATCCTTATTCCATATGTTATTGAAGACACTACCATGGTATTTGGGATGAAGGAAGAAAGCCATAATGAGCAACAGTTGCTCCCATTGCTTCCACTGGAACTCACCTTATATAGTTGCATGAAATAGGCAAATGCATAACTGGCCTTCTTGCTGGCCACTTCTTTATTATTATTGCACCTCTCTTAGATGTTAAAACTAGCTACACCTAGCTTGCAATAAAGTCATACAAATTAAATATTGAAATGTTAAGTGACTGATAAGGAAAGGTAACTATGTGATCCTTTATGTGCTTCATAACAATTTTCTTTACATCTATGCTCCACCTGGTGCATGCAACTTCTCTGCACAGTGAATTACTATGTGAAAGAATACAAGCATCCAATAGTTTTGGTTCTTGATCAAGTAGATTGTATTGCTAAAAAGGATCCAGAGTTGTTTGGGATACTCCAAGATTTTGCAAAAGACTGTGCAAACAGTGGCACCCATTGATTGCAAGTGAAGGCTTGGTTTCACAAATCTGAAATTTTGAAATGTAGAGATGTTATGATTTTTAATATTTTAAATTCACTAATATTACTAATGTGATTGATTTATAAGAAAAAAGTCCGATTAGTCAGTCCTGATGAATTTTGTGATGAATACAAAAATTTTATATTAATATCTATATCATCGTTAATTTCTAATCGACGAATGATTCGCATTCTTTTATTATTAATACAGTCCCCGCAGCTTTTTACGTTAAACCCACTCAAAATTCATACCGAAAGCTACGCCATACTGCGCACGCTGCGCAATTATTAATGTTACACATGTACGATATTTGGGCAATCATTATAAATACCTGTGCAAAATACACCACACAATGTCACAACTGTGCTAATCACAAATTACTCGCGTTGATTTTAACGAGTCTTCTTTTCTCTCTCACTGAATTCAAAAATAACTCACAATGATAAGCTCTGAGCAGCCAAAAGATTATCGGGTAAGAATGCCGTACCGAAGCATGTATGAGTAGAAAATTGACTATTGCTAACCCCGTTGCTTTTCGTCTAGATACCTGATCCACCAGATGATGGTATCAGTGCGCTGGCGTTCTCGCCAGTTGCAGACTATCTTGCTGTTTCTTCATGGGATACTTCCGTAAGTCAACGTGACCTAAATACCAATGGAATTCGGCGGCGGTTGTTTTGGGTTATAACATGAAGACTACCATCCTGTGATGATGCTCTTATGACTTTAGACAAAAAATGGACGACCAAATCACTCCCACTCCACTGATGGTGTTCATCGCAGTCCGGCTGCAGCAAACATACCGTAAAGGTTTACACTCCTTTGTTAATAACACCTACGATTGCGAGGGATGACTGCAAATATCATCTTGTTCTGTTCGAAGAGTCTCTTGCAAAACGCGTTGTTATTGTCTCAAGGCGGGTCCAGAAGGAGTGGTTCTTGTTTAGTTGTCTTTGACAGTCAAGTAAATCACAATGTATATGGTGTTAAATATGAAACATGCTACCATAGAATGTTGCCGAATTCCTTCTCGTTATAACTGCGATTTTAGCATTTGTTAACTGTCATTTCCCTTATAGGTGAGAATATATGAAGTAAATGCTGCAGCCGGAGCAGCATATGGCAAAGCATTATACAAGCATGAAGGTGCTGCTTTATGCTGTGCATGGAGTAAAGTGAGTTGATCAATACAAACTTGAAAACGAAATCCTTTGTTTCTTTGCAATATTCGATCGGTTTTATGCCTAATCTCTTTTTATGTTTTCAATCGGTTTAGGATGGATCCAAACTCGTTTCGGGCGGCACGGATAAGGCTGCTCGACTGTTTGATCTAACTACACAACAGTCTGTGCAAATTGCCCAACACGAAGCTGCTATAAGGACTATCAAATGGGTAGATAATCAACCAAACAATCTGATCTGCACCGGAAGTTGGGACAAAACTGTCAAGTATTGGGATACTCGAACACCGAATCCTGTATTGAGCGTTGATGTGCCCGACAGGGTTTACACGATGGATCTAGTCTCTCCTCTATTGGTTATTGGTACGGCCGACAGGAATGTTATAACATACAATATAGCAAACCCAAGTACACCATACAAGGTAATGTAGTGATATATGGTAAAAGACGTCATTGATTATAGTTTGTAAGATTGTTCTGTTTACTAACATCATTTCAATCATTGTTTATTTTGGCTTACAGACGCAACTGAGTCCCTTGAAATATCAAACTAGAGTGATTTCCTGTTTCATAAACGCAACCGGCTATACTATTGGAAGTATCGAAGGAAGAGTCGGGATACAATATCTCGAAGACAAAGAGGGACAGTAAGTAGATGAATGCTTTCATGTTACTACAAATTAATATTTCAATCGTGTAAAATGCATTGTATTAATTGATATTCTTTATTATTCAAGTTCAAGCTTCTCGTTCAAATGCCACCGAGATGGCAATAATGTATATTCAGTGAATGCAATCTCATTCCATCCCTTGCATGGCACATTCTCAACTGCTGGCAGTGATGGTACATTTAATTTCTGGGATAAAGATTCGAAGCAGAGACTCAAAGGCTTTTCCAATATTGGAAGTCCTATCTCTGCTACTACTTTTAATAGAAATGGTACATTCTTTGCTTATGCCGCAAGCTACGATTGGAGTAAGGCAAGTATTATTAAGAAATCAATGATACGTGTATTAAAGGTCTCTCCGATCGTTAAACCTTTTTCACTAACTTTTGTTTACTCCGATTTCTTATAATGTAGGGTTATCAATCGTTCCAACAGAGCCAGAGTGTTGTATATCTGCACGCTGTAAAAGAGGAAGATGTTAAACCCAGACCAGCAAAGAAGCGATAACGGCACGGGGTACAGAGCTTTCTCTGACATTTGCGCTTGTCATATGGCACTCTGCAGATGATTCTTGTCGACACAGATTGCAACTATTTTATTTCGTATCATTACTTCTTACCTTTATCAATCAATGTTTTGTGTCACATTATAAATAAAGATCTCGAATTGTTTTTTATTTTATGCTGAATGTTTTTTCTCAAATGCTTTCATGTAATCAATCAACGCAGTTACGCCCTCTAATGTCATGGCATTATAAATGCTGGCCCTAAGGCCGCCAACACTACGATGTCCCTTCAACTGATACATCCTCAAAGCTTCAGCACCTGCCAAGAATTGCGCCTCCAATTCGGGTGGGTTTATTCTGAATGGCACGTTCATTCTCGATCGCACTTTTGGATCAATATGCGATTGGTAGATTTTTGATTGATCGATATAGTCATACAGCAGTTTAGCCTTTTGCCCATTAACTTTCTCAATCTCCTGGACTCCACCTCGTGCTATTAAATAATCGAACACTAATCCCGCCATATACACAGCAAATACAGGAGGTGTGTTATATAGCGAATCTGTATCTGCCATGATTTTGTAATCCAACATACTGGGCACTGTCATCAACATGCCACTACTCCCAGCACTATGCTCGGCAACAGTCTTTGGCTGATCAACCAACAAATCTTCTCTCACGATCACAATAGTAACTCCAGCCGGTCCAACATTCTTCTGAGCTCCCGCATAGATCACGCCAAATTTACTAACATCGAATTTACGCGAGAGTATATTCGAAGACATGTCACACACGAGTGGCACGGAAGGATCAATGTCGGGAATGTAGGGGAATTCAACGCCATTGATTGTTTCGTTATCGCAGTAATACACGTAGGCAGCATCTGGACCGCTCAACTTCCATTCCCCGCGAGGAGGAATGGATCCAAACTTTCCACCACCCGAAACTTTTGCATCTGCGGCAATGTTCACGTTTGCATATAATCTTTTCGCCTCGGCCACCGATTTTGCCGACCATGATCCGGTGATTACATAGTCCACTGGTGGGTTCCATGAATAGTCGCCCGTTTTGGCTCTCTTTGCGGCTACGAGATTGTATACGACTGCCGAAAATTGGGTATGCCCGCCTCCCTGCATGAATAGTATCTTGTAGTTTTCTGGAATATTTAACAATTGTCGCAAGTCATTCTTGGTCTTTTTGAGAAGGTTATCAAAAGTTTTGGAACGATGAGATATTTCGAGGACTGACATTCCGGTATTGTTGAAATCGAGAAATTCGGCTTGAGCCTTGGCTAGGACCTCTGCTGGGATGGCAGCAGGACCAGCGCCAAAGTTCCATACTTTCGTGGTTGACGACATTTATGATGGGTGCGGATCAAAAGAAGAAACGGGAATAAAATTTTGTTATAATGTTTGTGCAAAGTTGGGAATTATTGTAATAGGATAATCATTTCGATAATCACTCATATTCTCGAAAAGTTTGTGGTCATACAAGCGATAAATATGCGACAGAAAGAAAGCCTGGTTTAGAAATTTGTTTCGCTCGATTAGAAATCTTTGGCTGGAATTATTTAGTAAATATTTCCCTGTTTATCTGTTATAAGTTGCACAAAAAAATTGCACATGAAAGTCAACAGGCACGCATTTAAAGAGAACATATTATGAGTTGATTTGGGAATAAACTGTAGCATTGTTTAGTGTCAGCATGTTGTAGGATTACTAAGCCATCACTCATACCATCTTCTATCTCATTTGATAAAACTATTCTAGATTTAAAATTGGGGTTATAAAAAGTAAATTTAATGACGTTTAGGGTGCTCTATCAGTACCTCCCCTACCAGATTTGGTAACGTTTCTAGTTACTAAATTTGGTAGGGGAGATAGTTTAGCACTTGGGAGGTAAATTACCTCCCCTCTACCTCACCAATTTATTGCTAAATTTGGCAAAATACTTACTACTAAATATGGTAGGGGAGATAGTCCTGGAAAAGAAGTCACGGATATCGGTGTGCTCTCTCCGTGATACTTCTTCTTATTTAAACGATGTCATTAGTTCCAGGGGTTAATAATTCAGCAATTGACAACTTAGTACAGTCTTCCTTGGAGAGTGAAAATGAAAACTTGCGACTTGAATGGATTCCTTTCTCGGAATTCATCAACATAGAGCCAACTCAAATTGACAATGTCCACTACGCTAGTCGTAACGACGTTAAGAAAATACTGCTACGCCTTGGAAATGATGAGATATGTACTCCAACACTTGTGAATGAGTTTGCTAGAATATACTCACTTCCAACACACAAGTACAATAATGATGTCAGTCGATTTAGACGATATTCCGTATGGTTTAAGACTCGCAACATACTCATAATTGGATTTACTAAGCATAATAACAACTATTACATGGTTGCTGAGAAACCCTTTTACTATTGTTATTCCCGATATGGATTCTGCCCTACATGTGGAATACTCCGATGCAGTCCCGTGTGGTGCATCTGTGGACATAAACAATTATCAGATGGATGGACTAGCAAC